CGATAGATTATTGATTGGGGTATATGGCAACCACTCACTTAACAAATATTAATCTTGCTGCATTTAGGAAAAACACCGATTGCACAATGTATTGTCAATTACAATATGCAGCTCAATCACCTTTCAGACCTTAATAGAAAACACGAATCAAGGTCGGATTTAAACTAATGATTTGTTGATAGATCGATTACTTACCGAATATTGATCGATTATAGCCCGATGTTGGCCGAGTTCTATACAATGTACATAGAATTATCGAGTTGTTATCGATTAGTGTTCTTAGTATCGCTTCGTTGGTAAAAGTTTTAAGCTTTAGTAAAATAATCATAGCCATGACATGCGTCTGYACATTGTATTCATAATCAGAATCACTTGTCGCACTCAAAATATGTAAATAGAATCACTAGTGTGATGTTATTATTATTGTTTTTCTCGTGATTGATACAAAGATGAGCMTTCAAGGTCTACACTCAATTGGTGTTTACACTGACACTGGTGAAAAACGCACTGCTTTCCCGCCAGTGGGCGCTCGCGTCTTGAMATCTGTAAACAGAGCGCCTGGCGATTTACAGCGACAACACAGAAAACACTACAAAAAACCTCATTTTCTCAAAATAGAAATAACAAGATAAAAATAGAAACTACATACTAAAAGAACCTATCATGAACAATGATTCATGGAAATATGAATCTTATATATCGGTGAACGAGCTTATAAATTGTAAAAAACTTTCACAAAAATCGCTTTACAAAGGAAATTAGGCAGATTTCAGCGGGAACAGTGGACATGCGCAGTGCGTTTTTCACCAGTTTCGTTTACACTACTTTCAAAATGGCGGTAACTCACGACCTCAATATCGGGGGACTAGTAACGAATCATGGAAACGAGACCTCAAAGGCCTTCCATGTATGAAGTGTCCAAAAAAGATGTATTGATATCTTATGCATAACAAAGTACTCTTGCAAGACAACATAGAAGTTAACTATATGGAGGCTGGCCTTTGAGACCTCGTTTAAGTGCTTCGTACCCAGTGCCCTGGTCGGAGATCATGACGTATCAAGGCATTTTTGCAAGTAAAAAATAATCCAGATTTCTCACAAACATTTTCAATGACGTCACAGAAAGTCTGCAAGGCATTCTGGTCTAGAAAAGACATTTGAATTAAAAGCTTTTCTATTTTTTGTTTTATACTCTTATTTTATACTGTTCTTGAATACTTCAAAATGCTTAGCTCAAGCTATCTTCATTGCAAATGATTTCTGCATTATATTTTCCTAATTTTAAGCAATGAAGCACTGTTAAGTAGATGTAGTATTCATGAAACCACGACAAAATATCCATTTTCATAGAAAATTGATCGATTCATTCAGAGTTTTATCACTCGAATTAAAACAATTGTATTTTAGAGCAGTAGTTTACAAAAATACATTTCAACTTTTCTAAAATAAACAAGTATATCTCTATATAGTCTTGACCAAAGCAATATGAAAACAACTAAGATATTATCACGCCAAATAAACTTTATCACAAAACAATGCGTTGTTATTATTATACACAAATAAAATTTAAAACAGTTCGGTATCGCGAAACTATAGAGTATACACACTCTTAATTTTTTACGATTTTGGTGGGCTATAGTCCATGCATTTTGACCAAAAATGGGCCATTTTTGACGATTTTGGTGGGCTATAGTCCATGCATTTTGCCCAAAAATGGGCCATTTTTGACGATTTTGGTGGGCTATAGTCCATGCATTTTGACCAAAAATG